ATAGGAGACCACGGGAGGAGATTACAAAGTTAACATTGTGGTTGAAAGAGGCTTATCGAGATGAGGAGTTGTATTGGCATCAAAAAAGTAGGAGCTTTTGGATGCAACTAGGGGATAATAATTCAAAGTATTTTCATGCACTAACAAAACAAAGACGGGCAAGGAATCGAATAACGGGGCTACATGATGAAAACAGGAATTGGTCTGCAGAGGATAAGGGTATTCAAAATATAGCGGTGTCTTATTTTAAGGAACTTTTTACTACAACTAAGCCCGAGGCTTTTGAGGAATCCTTGGCAGAAGTTCAAACTCTGATTACGGAACAAATTAATAATTTTTTAACGGCACCTGCTACAGAATGTGAAGTGAGAACGGCTTTGTTTATGATGCATCCGGAAAAAGCGCCAGGTCCTAATGGTATGATAGCTTTATTTTACCAAAGAGCTTGGGTTACCATTAAAACAGACCTTCTTTTTCTGGTCAACTCCTTTTTAGAGGATAAAATTTTTGATAAACGGTTAAATACGACTAACATTTGCTTGATTCCAAAAACTGAAAAACTGACACGGATGACGGAATTACGGCCTATCAGTCTTTGCAATGTTGGGTATAAAATTATATCGAAGATTCTTTGTCAAAGACTAAAGACGGTGCTACCAAAACTGATTTTGGAAACACAATCGGCTTTTGTAGAAGGACGATTGATAATTCGGATAATATTCTCATCGCACAAGAGATGTTCCATGGGTTGAGAACTAACCTTTCCTGTAAAGGAAAATTCATGGCAATTAAAACAGATATGAGTAAAGCCTATGATAGGGTGGAATGGATTTTCATAGAGAAGGTTTTAAGAAAATTGGGTTTCTCTGAAAAATGGATAAAATGGATAATGTGGTGTATTACAATGGTCCAATATAGAGTTCTCCTTAATGGACAACCTAGAGGACTAATAGTACCAGAGAGGGGTTTATGACAAGGAGATCCGCCTCTCACCTTATTTATAAATCATTTGCACAGAAGTGCTAATTGCGAATATTCGAAAAGCTGAACGGGAAAAATTAATTACGGGTATCAAAGTAGCAAATGCAAGCCCTTCGGTTTCACATCTGTTATTTGCGGATGATAGCTTCTTTTTTTGCAAGGCCAACAAGGATCGATGTAGGGTAATTTTGGGAATTTAAAAGAAATATGAAGCGGTCTCGGGACACCAGATTAATTTTTTAAAATCCTCGATTCAGTTTGGACATAAGGTAGATGATGATATCAAAGATGAAATCAAATCTACCTTAGGTATCACTAATATCGGTGGTATGAGTTCTTATCTTGGATTGCCGGAGAGCTTAGGAGGATCCAAGACAAAAATCTTCTCTTTTGTCAGAGAAAGACTACAAACAAGGATTAACGGGTGGTCGGCAAAATTTTTATCAAAAGGGGGAAAGGAAGTGATGATTAAATCGGTAGTTGCGGCATTACCAACTTATGTTATGTCATGCTTCAGACTACCTAAAACAATCACTTCTAAACATACTAGCGCAGTTGCTAATTTTTGGTGGAGCTCAAATGGTGATTCCAGAGGTATGAAGTGGATGGCTTGGAATAAATTGTGCAATAGCAAATCGGAAGGGGTTTTAGGATTTTGGAATGTTGACGATTTTATTTCAGCTTTACTTGCAAAATAATTATGGCGGTTGATCACGGTTCCATATTCTCTTTTCGCAAAGGTGTTTAAAGGACGATATTTTAGGAAATCCTATCCTTTTGAAAATATAAAATTGTATTCTCCATCATATGGATGGCGGAGTATATGTTCAGCTAGATCTCTGGTTAATAAAGGACTTTCTAAAAGAGTCGGATCTGGGACAGCCATCTCGGTTTGGGAGGATCCCTGGATTCCAGCTCAATTCTCGAGACCAGCAAAAAGTAATGGTTCAGTTGCTGACCCATCTTTAAAAGTTAACGATCTTATAGATCGTCGGAAGATCTTTTGGAATAATGATCTCTTAAAAGTGATCTTTGATCCAGATGATGTCGCGCTAATAAGCACCATACACGTGGGTGCGCCAAACAAATGAAGATTCTTTGGGTTGGCATTTTACAAAATTCGGAAAATATACAGTCAAATCGGGATATCATACCACTCGGTTAGAAAAGTTGGAGACCAATTTAACTTTATTTGGCCCTGATATCAACCCGTTAAAAGCATATTCTTGGCAAGTGCAGTGTCCACCTAAGATACGCCATTTCTTGTGGCAAATCTTAACATGATGTGTACCGGTTACGGAAAATTTGCGGAGAGGAGGAATTGATTGTGACACGGGCTGTGCCAGATGTGGCGCACCTGAGGAAATGATCATTCATACCCTCTTTCAGTGCCATCCGGCACGGCAGATTTGGGCGCTTTCACAGATTCCTACGGCTATGGGGATTTTTCCCACATAACCTAATTTTGTGAATTTGGATCACTTATTTTGGAGAATACCTTCGGAATTTGATTCATCAGCCTTTCCATGGATTATTTGGTATATTTGGAAAGAAAGGAACAAAAAAATATTTGAAAACATAGATACAGACCTAATAGAGGTATTACGATTAGCGTAAAAAGAGGCACAATTATGGCAATCAGCTCAAATTGAACTCCATAATGAAAATTATGGTTATGTGGACTTGGTAAATCGAATTCGAGTGAGGGATGTTTCAGTTGAATCAAATTATTTCGGATACCGTTGTTTTGTGGATGGATCATGGAAAGGAAGTGACAAGTTTTCCGGTACAGGGTGGTTCTGTACATCGTCAAATGGAGAGCCTGCCAACCATGGGAGCTGCGAACCTCCGTAGAAGTCTATCTCCACTACATGCCGAAGTCGAAGTCCTTCTCTGGGCGATGAAGTGTATGATTGGTGCAGATAATCAAGAGGTAGCGTTCTTTACAGACTGTTCAGACCTGGTGAAGATGGTGTCTTCTGCAACCGAATGGCCGGCGTTTTCAGTGTACTTGGAGGAATTTCAGAGCGACAAGGAGGAGTTTTCATCCTTTTCTTTATCTTTAATTTCTCGTAGGGCTTATGTTAAAGCGGATAATTTGGCACGAAAAGTTTGTACAGAACCACGTGGTTCTTTTGTAAACAACATTCATCAAGAATGGCACTTTTGAGCTCTAATTAATTTCGGATAACAAAAAAAAAAAAAATAGAAGTGACACATCTTTGTAATCTGATTTGTGTTTGCCGTCGAAGGTGTGATTATGTTGGCGATGATGATGGTAGTGATGACGTAAAATATTGTTAAGTTTTGAAATTCCTAATTAATTCCTTCTAATGTTATCGTTACGTTTTAGGTTGTATGTGTTGCATACGTGATGCATGAAAGCCCATAGCCATGAAAGCTTCGAAAGAGAAGTGAATCCTATGTCGACATGTCATATCCATCGTGTACCCAAGCCATTGTCATTCTAATCATCTCCGTCGACGTTTTCACCTAACCAAAGGATAATAGGGAAGAAGAAGAAAAACCTTAATGAGGAGGGAATTGAAAGGAAGAAGAAAAAGAGAGAGAAAGCGAAGAAGAAGGAAACGTGGAAGCAAAGAGAAAGAGAGACCGTGGAATGACGAGAAGGCATATAAGAAAAAGAAAAATGTGAATGAAGAAGAAGAGTGTAAAAGGCTCATATGATCCACACCAAAGATAGAGTTGTATGTGGTGAACTACATATCGGAGGAAAAAACAGTTCCGACACAACATCTTTAGGAAAATGTGAAAAGCTCATGACCTTTCCTTTCATGAATACTTTTGATTTACATTTTCGTTATATATTAGTAGATTTTTTTTTATCTTAGTCAATTTTGTAGCATTAAAGATTTTGGTTTGAAAAGTTTCTACACACTTGGATCTTAAATCGAGTATACATGTAAAAGTGAGAAAACAGTTATGACATGACCTCTTTATGCCAACGTTTAGTTCATATGTAGCGGAAACTTGATGGCAAGATTTCTTACTGATTGGGGATGATTTATTTTTGTATAAGAGATGTTATGATGGTCTTTTTAGGATGAATAGGGTCATTGTCAAAATATTTTTATAATTGTTTTACTAATAGCAAAATCATTAATAGTAGAAAACAAGTAAGAGATAATAACACATCATATTAGTAATATATTTTATACTAAATTTTATCCTATAAATTTTTTTTCTTATTAAAACAATTTTAAATAACGTAAATGATACTAAAACTATAAATAAAGAACATTTCTGTTAAAAATAATAAATAATAAATATTATAGTATTTTTGTATTACTACTGTCAATGTATAACTACTTAAATGAATACTAAAACCAGAAATATATTAAATCAATCGATAATAACAAACCCCGGATAGCGGAAGTTAATAACTTATATATATAAATTATTATTACACCACAAAAATATTAGATATTTAATATTTTACTATTTAATTAATTTGAATCACTTTTAGATAAATTCTATATGTGTGGGTAGCACCTAGTTTTTACTTAGCATATATCCATTTTTTCCCTTAAGTAATCGAAAATCCGCCCAAATGGAAAGATGGGTTTTATTTGGTACGTTTCGTCCTTGTATACGAAATTTATCTACAACGATATTATAAATTACTTATTTAGTAAGAAAAAAAAATACTTATTTTGTATAAAGTTCGAATGTTGATATAAAATTAATTGTATATCTAAATTAAATTAGTACATTACCAGCAAAAGGATTGTTTGCTTTGAGCTTTGCATAGATGCAAAAAGAAAATAAAGCCTTTGTCCCGCATTTGTTCGACCTGTAACCATTTGCAGCTTTATACTTTTCCTCTCTAAATTCTTCTTCCATAAAAAAAAAAAAAAAAAAAAAAAAAAAAAAAAAAAAAAAAAAAAAAAGTTTAATGAGAGACAAAAGCAGCTTCTTCATAATCACATTCTTTACTTCAACTTCTAAACAAGCTTCTTTCTTTAATCAGAATAAATACCTTTCTTCCACAATTAGGTTTCTCTCCTCAAGATTCTTTCCCTTTTAAATCTCCCTTGCACTCCAAGAAACCAAGAAAAACCCACAATGAGAAACACCACCAAACTGGTCGTGCACGTGGTTGATGCTCAATATCTTATGCCCAGAGATGGCCAAGGCTCAGCAAGTCCTTTTGTAGAAGTTGATTTCCTTAACCAGTTAAGCAAAACAAGAACCGTACCTAAAAGCCTTAACCCTGTCTGGAACCAGAAACTCTTCTTTGATTACGACCAGAGTGTGATAAGCCATCACAACCAACACATTGAAGTCTCTGTTTACCACGAAAGAAGACCGATTCCCGGTAGAAGTTTCCTCGGTAGAGTCAAGATTCCTCTCTCTAATATTGTTTACAAGGACGACCAAGTGTACCAGCGCTTCACGTTGGAGAAGAAATGGCTTCTTTCTTCTGTTAAAGGTGAGATTGGTCTCAAATTCTACATTTCATCATCCGAACAAGAGAAAACCTTTCCTCCTCCTCTTCATTCTAAACCTTACACCAGTCCAACTCAAGCCTCTGCCTCTGGAACTGAAGAAGATACTGCTCATTCTGAAACAGATGATTCTCTAAAGAGTTTTGCATCAGCAGAGCAAGAAGATCTTCCTGATTCTGCTAGCGAGTGTGTCAAAGGCAAAAGGACAGAAGAAGTTAAAGAACCAGATCAGAAACTACATAGACAAGAAGTTTTTGCTCGGCCAGCACCAATGCATTCCATTCGCCTGCGCTCTCGTGAAAACCCACATGAAGCCAAGAAACCGCTGTCTCGTGGAGCTAACCAGCTTCACCCTCAAAACACCAACCACTTGCAATCATATGTTGAAACTGACCCAGATGACTTTAAGGTGAGAGACATGAACTTGGATCTTGGAGAGAGATGGCCAAATCCAAATGCTGGGGAGAGATTTACGGGCACATACGATCTTGTGGAACAGATGTTTTATCTCTATGTTCGAGTTGTTAAAGCAAAAGAGCTACCACCTGGTTCAATCACTGGCGGATGTGATCCTTACGTGGAGGTCAAGCTAGGGAATTACAAGGGAAGAACGAAGCACTTTGATAGGAAGACAACACTTCCTGAATGGAACCAAGTTTTTGCATTTACCAAAGAACGTATTCAATCATCAGTTCTTGAAGTTTTCGTGAAGGACAAAGAAACTCTAGGTCGAGATGATATTCTTGGAAAGGTAATGTTTGATCTGAACGAAATCCCAACAAGGGTTCCACCAAACAGCCCTTTGGCACCGCAGTGGTACCGATTAGAGGATTGGAGAGGAGAAGGCAAAGTAGTACGAGGAGAGATAATGATTGCTGTCTGGATGGGAACACAAGCCGATGAAGCTTTTCCTGAAGCATGGCACGCCGACTCTGCTTCTGTTCATGGAGAAGGCGTGTTCAACATCAGATCCAAGGTATATGTATCTCCTAAGCTGTGGTACTTAAGAGTCAATGTTATCGAAGCTCAAGACATGATCCCGAGTGATAGGAACCGGCTTCCTGATGTTTTCGTCAAAGCCAATGTCGGAATGCAAACCCTAAAGACAAGTATCTGTCCCATGAAGACAACAAATCCACTCTGGAATGAAGATCTTGTCTTTGTAGTTGCTGAGCCATTTGAAGAGCAGCTAGTGATCTCTGTAGAAGACCGCGTTCACACTTCGAAAGATGAAGTAATTGGCAAGATCACCCTACCGATGAACGTGTTCGAGAAGCGGTTAGACCACCGTCCAGTCCATTCCCGTTGGTTCAATCTTGATAAGTACGGTACCGGAGTTCTAGAGCCAGACTCAAGAAGAAAGGAACATAAGTTCTCGAGCCGGATTCACCTACGAATATGTCTTGAAGGAGGCTACCATGTGATGGACGAGTCAACAATGTATATTAGCGACACAAGACCTACGGCTAGACAGCTGTGGAAGCAGCCGGTGGGAATGTTAGAGATTGGGATTCTTGGAGCAAACGGGTTGGTGCCAATGAAGTTGAAAGACGGTAGAGGAAGCACAAACGCTTATTGTGTGGCTAAGTACGGGCAAAAATGGGTGAGAACCAGAACCATTCTTGACACATTAAGTCCAAGATGGAACGAGCAGTACACATGGGAAGTATATGATCCTTGTACTGTCATTACTCTCGGAGTTTTCGACAATAATCATTTGGGTTCTTCACAATCCGGAACTGCAGATTCTAAAGATTCAAGAATCGGAAAGGTGATCTCTTTCTGTGTACATAATCTTAGGGTGACTATTAGCTTTTAAAACCATTAATTGGTTCTGTTTTTACTTTTTACCATTTGCTTCTTCTGAAACTAGAACTCATTTTTTGGGTCGGTTTGGTTTAAAAATATTTCAGTTCACATGATTTTGAGCAAAACCTTAACAAAAATCAAATAAGTAAAAAAAAATTAATTAATATTATATAATTTAGAATAATTCTATGGATTTTTAGTATACAATTTGTTACAATTTTAAAATTAATTTATTCAGTTTCGATTTCGTTTTAATTTTTTTCGGTTTAAATTTGGTTTGTTTTTGTTTAAAAGATAGCATTAATTTTTGCTCGGTTTGGCTATTATGGCCACCCCTACCATAGTCATACGTAAGATGCATTATGTTTCACTTCTAACTTTGTGGATTTGAAACCCTTGGAACAGGTTCGCATTAGGCTGTCTACACTAGAGGCTCACAAGATCTACACACATTCATTTCCTCTTCTTGTTCTTCAACCGCACGGTCTCAAGAAAACGGGCGACCTACAACTATCTGTCCGTTTTACGACTCTCTCTTTAACCAACATCATCTACAATTACGGCCACACCCTTCTCCCCAAAATGCACTATCTTTTCCCTTTCACGGTCAACCAAGTAGACGGTTTGAGGTACCAAGCCATGAACATTGTTGCAACCCGCCTTGGCCGAGCTGAGCCACCACTTAGGAAAGAGGTCGTCGAGTACATGTTGGATGTAGATTCTCACCTATGGAGCATGAGAAGAAGCAAAGCCAACTTTTTTCGCATAATGTCGCTTCTTTCAGGTTATTTCTTGGTCGGGAAGTGGCTAGAAGATGTTTGCAACTGGAGATACCCGGTTACTTCGGTTCTGGTCAATGTCTTGTTCTTCATTTTGGTCATGTACCCTGAACTGATTTTGCCTACCATGTTTCTCTACATGTTCTTCATTGGATTGTGGAACTTCAGGTCCAGGCCGAGACACCCTCCTCACATGGATATGAAACTCTCATGGGCCGAGGCTGTTGGTCCTGATGAGCTCGATGAAGAGTTCGACACATTCCCAACGTCTCGGTCACAAGAGTTGGTCCGGCTGAGGTATGACCGGCTCAGAAGCGTGGCAGGTAGGATCCAGACTGTTGTTGGAGATATTGCATCTCAGGGAGAGAGAATTCAGTCACTTTTAATCTGGCGAGACCCCAGGGCTACAAGCCTCTTCATTTTGTTCTGCTTGGCTGCGTCGGTGGTCCTTTACGCAATGCCGTTCAAAGCAATGGCACTAGCTAGTGGGCTATACTATCTAAGGCACCCAAAGTTTAGAAGCAAGTTACCTTCTCTGCCAAGTAACTTCTTCAAGAGATTGCCGTCTCGTACAGATAGCCTTCTTTGACCTAAACTCTTTCTTTTGCAAGATTTACAATAAAATGACTTTGTTATAACTTTTTCTTTTGTTTCTAATCTATATATAATAGCAATCTAATAAATACCATTTGCACATCGAAACCTTTCGTTTAAATCGATTATTTTTTACGGTTATTTTGGTTACGTCTTTTTATCGCAATTTTCGTTTAATCGGTTATTTTTTTACGGTTATGTCGTTTCCAATAAATACCATTTACACATCTGAACGGTTGCGTCTTTTTATTGCAACCTTTCGTTTAAATATATAATAGTAATCTCAATAAATACCTTTTGCAAATTTGAACGGTTGTGTATTTTCGTCGCAACCTTTCGTTAAGTTTTTTTTTTAAACTATAAAATATTATTACTTTTTTAAAAAGTTGCATCTGTTCAATTTTTAACTATAAAAAATCTGAACATATATGTCTATTTGTCGCAATCTTTCGTTATTTTTTTTAAATATCTATAAAATATAATTTGTGGTTGTGTACTTGTGTTTCCTTAAAGTTGCATCTGTTTAGTTTTTAAATATAAAATATTTGAACTATTGTGTCATATCGTCGCAACTTTTTAGTTAAGTTTTTTTAATAATTATAAAATGTAATTTATGGTTGTGTTTTCTTAAAGTTGCATCTATTTAATTTTTAACTATAAATTATAAATTTTATGGTTTTGTTATTTAGAAAGTTGCATCTGTTCCGTGGTTGAAACAGTTCGTCAAATAAACTTTTTCATTTTACAATTGTTAAAAGTTGCATCTGTACAATTTTTAACTATAAAGTATAAATTTTATGGTTTTGATTTGTTCAAAAGTTACAACAGTTCATTTTTAATAACTATAAAATATAATTTTTTTTTTTAACATCTTCATTCTTTATTAATTTGGAAACGATAATACAAATGTATCAATGAGCATACAAATTAAAGCTCCGCAAACCATACAACCAATACTTAAGTAGCACGAAATAAACGAGAAAGTGAAAAAACACGTTGCTTCCGGATGTTGATAAACCTTACACGCTAACAGATTAATCAATCTGTTATTTTCCTTCATCGTCTTCGTCGTCAGTCTATTTTGATTTTCTTGTTGGGCTATCTTTTCTGTTATGTAGCGCCAAAACTTTGTATGAAAATCAAAGGGTTGCGATCCATCAGTTACATCGCTAACCACACAAACATTTGCATCTTCTGAACCAGGCGATTGCACAATAGTGGTTGTAAATATCACCCATGATAGATCCATAATCTCGATTCCTTTGTTGATATTCTTCAATGGCCATAATTGAAAATTTCTTGCAGTTTCTTCAAATGGTTTCAATAAAACGTCATTCTGTAGACGTAGACTATGGTTCCTTTTGTACTCTTGGTGTAAGATCAATTGCTTCCAAAGCCACCTAAACCTTTTGGATCCAAAAAAACAATATTCATATCCAAATAGAACAATTGGCAGAGAAAAGTTTTTCGAGCACAAGAATGAAAAGGCATCATCATAATATTCTATCCTCGCCTTCATGATTGAAAAAAAGAGGCCCATAACCGCCAAACAGAGATAGAGATAACGTCTAACGATAAGATCTGTTTGAATCTTAATGTCGCCATCATCTAATTCAACATTTGAGTCTCCAGGATCCCAAGTCCGAGATTGGAAATCATCTCTCTGAAAGAAAAGCGAATCGCAAAGGATTCGACGATGCATATGAGAATTGATTCCAATCAAAGAACAAAGAAAGCCTCTTGAACAAATCTCAAGCGGAAAGGCGTCGACACACCACCGACGAACTTGCCGGATTGTGGTCGGAATGAATCTCATCCCAAAGGAGAGGAAAATTATGAATAATTGAATGAAGAAAGCCAACGGATTTGCAGAAATCATTGGACAAAAAACTAGGGATTTATAACTGGAATAATGAAATTGAAACTAAAAACAAAATGAGAAACACCGACCAACGTCGAAGTCGACGCCAGCCGGGAAACAGTTGAAATAAAGGAAGGCTTGTCGGAGAAGGAGACTTTGGAATCGTCACGAGAGAGAGTAGGCAGAAAATTTTTTTTAACTATAAAATATAATTTATGGTTATGTTTTTTTTTTAAGTTGCATCTGTTCAATTTTTAACTATATAATATAATTTTATGGTTTGTGTTTAGAAAGTTGCATATGTTCAAAGATTGCAACGGTTAATCAAATAAACCTTTTCATTTTATGGTTGTTGGCATTTTTTCGCTATCTAGCATTCATATATATATATATATATATATATATATATATATACTTTGTTATCTATACTATTATTTATTTTTTCCTAAATAACTATAATTTTGGTTATTTGTTAATTTTTTCTGAGGATTATCTTTCTTTAACAACACAATTTAAAGTATTGCGTATTTTTATCATAATGTTTTGTTGAATGTATTTATATAATTATGTTGAGAAGTGTTTAAAAACTTGAAAAGGTACGTCTACTCATTATAATGATTAATTAATATATATGTTTATGATCACATCTTTTCACCATAATGTTTTTTAATAATAATATAAATCTTAATAATTGTTTCTGAAGGTTACGTCTCTTTAATCTTTATCATAATTTTTCGCAAAATATATCTTGATTTATTATTAAAAAGATTTTTTTGTAAGTTATCTAAATACATTATATTTTTTCGTTTAATATTTTTTTTCTTTAAAGATTTTTGAAATCATTTCCCCCGCGACATCGCGGGGGGTCTGATTCCTAGTATGAAATAATATTACGAACATATCATAAGGTTTGTAAAATGTTAACAGAAGAAAAAAAAAAAAAAAAACCAAGTTTGTAGCCATATACATTTCTTTGTAGTCAATTAACGAGTAATAAGTTTTTTCAAACCCCCACTATTGCATTATATTAAATTTATACTTCAAAGATATCTTTGTGCTAGAACATGAGTAATGAAATATTTGAATGTCATACTTGCACTTCATGTTTTGTGCAAAATTATGCATAAGCCTAATTCTCGATTATGTGGAATCCACGTGTCCACTTTCGTAGATTTGTTTTATGCGAGTTTGTGCAGAAATTGGTTTTTTCATACTTCCACAATAGCAATTTGTTAAATTCATACATGAACTTTATTAGTATGCTAAAACATACCCTAAATAATTAAAATTTTAAATTTCATACATATACTTCATGTTTCGGGTTAAAACGAACACTCGAAATCATCTAAAACGATGTCGTACTGTATTACTAGATTGAATCTGACATCATTCTACTTTTATGCTTTTCTATATTCTTCTTTTTCTCGAGTGGGGAATAGGCTTGGAAAAAAAACCGAACCCAAAAACCTGAATTGGAACCGCCCCAAAAAAACCGGTCCAGGTCACCAAATTACCCTATGCGAGTCAATTTCCCCATAAACTCGTATAAAACAAATCCACGTAGGTGCACACGTAGATTCTATGTAGTCGAGATTTAGGACGTACGCATGGTTTTTTATGAAACATGAAGTTCATGTATGAATTTCAAATATTTCATTACTCGAAGTATGTTCTAACACAACAATATAACTAAGCCTGAATGGGGTCAATAAACCAGAGTTTTGAATTGAAGCATGAGGCCCAAACCGAGACCGCTAATGAGTTAAACCTAAGAGAAACTCTAAATCTCCCACCTGTGTATAAAAGAAAAACACAAGCCCAAAAAGTGTTTCAGAAACCCTTGCCCGCCAAATCTCTAGGTAAGCCTCGACCTCAATTCGAGTCCTCTGTTTTCGTGTTGTCTGGCTCAGCCCTAACTCGATCCTTCTTTGTGAACCGTTGCAGCACCACTGGAGTCATCGGAGTCATCAGAGACCCTCGTTGTGCTCAGCCTTTGCCTCCATGTGAACCACCTTCGTCGGAAAGGTAAAACCCCTGAGCCATATATGAGATTTATGTCTCTGTTTTGATTGATGGTTGGAACCAGTCTAACCACTGTGACTTGAACCACCGCAGATTTGTGCCATTGAGCCCTCCACTTCGTCGCTCAGTCCGTCAAGTCAAACCGTCGAGAAAACTTGCCGAGAAAGGTAATCAGGCAAATCCATGTCTCGTGTCTGATAAGTTGGGAGAAACTGTAGTAGTAAAATAATTTCTCACAATTTATTCATTAGTCAATAAATTTATTTATACAAGGATCATAACTTGAGTAGCAAGTTCTTTACATATATGATAATAGGAAATTTACCTATTTAACAATAAAAATATATTATACAAATGTTAACTTTCTTTTTAAGTCGATCTCGTAATCTCCGAGATCTCCTAACAGTGTCTGTTGTTGCTTTGTGATGTTGTGATTATTAAACTGTGAAACTAAACCAGCCTAAACCAAGAGATCCCTTGTGTGAGTAGGGTCCAAAACCAAACTTGTAATCGTTAGTTGACTGACTTGTGATGTGGGTTTGTGGTTCGTACGATTCGTTAGTTTGGGTTTTGGAATTTGATTATTAAACCGGAGCTGTGGAGTTGGGTTAAAGTGACGTAGTTGTGAAGTTGTAGGATTATTAAATTGGGTTTGTTTAATCATAATTAATCGTGGGATAGTTTATTGAATTGAAATCATGGGTTGAATTGTGATGTTATTAAATTATTAATATCAGGACTCCGATCTTCCGCAATGTCGTGGAAGAAAAGATTACAACAAAATTTAAAAAGAAAAATATCAAACAAAAAATAACTACTTAAAAAAAAATTTATACCATATAGATAACAAAGTATATACATGAATGTTAGATAGCAAAAAAATACAACTTTATATGAAAAAGTATCAAACAAAAAGTAATTATAAATAAACACAACTTTTCTATAAATATATATAGAGTTAAAAAAAATGAAAGTTTAAATAGACAAAACTTTTTGTAAAAGACACAATTATTGGAACGAAAAGTTTGTGATGACAAAACACGAATAATACATGGTGACAAGATATAATTCTAAATGTACAGATATAACTTTAACTAATGATCTCAAAACATTTTTATAAACGGTTGCAATAGTTCATCAAATATACCAAAAATTGTAATATTTCATCAAAAGTTGTAGATAATTTAAATTTATAACGATTTATAAAAT